AAGAAGCTAGTAGTAACAAGTGCCACGCTAGTAGTAACAAGAAGCTATTAAATAGGAACAAGAAGCTCCGTCATGTTCCCAGCTCCGGGAGACTCGTCCGCCCGCGCCCCTCGCCTTTGCTTGTCGCGACGGTCCCAGACGTCGAAGCGTCAAGCAGTTCCCGACCATGGGGCCTCCGTTCACCGAAACCGATGTCAAAAGCTTCTTGTTACTAGTAAGGCACTTGTTTCTACTAGCGAGGCAAATGTTCCTAGTAGCGTGGCACTTGTTCCTAGTAGCGTCCTTTGCTCATCCATACATTCATCCACGCGCACAATGAGTTGATGAATCTCCAGAGCGGAGAGGCCGAGTCCGGTATTGTGATGCATTTTGGAAGAAATGCGCGCAATCCTTTATCAATCGTCTTGGACAATGGGCCATACAAGTAGCTTTTATTGCTGCTGAAACATACTGAAGATCTATGCCCATCAAAGCTGATGGAGCTGTTTGGGCCGTCTGGGGCCCCAGCTCAAGAAGAAAACGTCAGGACTTGGAGTATTCAGGCCTTGGTTGAGCGGGAGGGTCCAGGGAAAGAGTGCCCAGGGAAAAGAATGCATTCTTTGCTCATCCAGGCCCCCCAGTAGTAAGATAAAGCAGAGAAAGCCTTTTGTTTGCAGCAAGACTTGGCTTCGACACAGCACTGTTGTTGGCAGCAAAGGTCGCAATGCCCAAAAGCAACATATTTCAAGAAGGCTCTCTTTCATGGCAGTCGCGTCAGCGATCTAAGAACAAGGCCCTCCAAAGCCCTCCTGTCTACATTGTTGCATGCTGGACAGCATCTTTTTGACTCGGATGCACGAATGGCGCCGAATGGCGTGAGCGCCCAGGATGGGCGGCAACCCCCACAGAGCATCAGAAACCCTTCTAAGAAGGGTTCGCTGGCAAGACCCATGAAGACCGCTGGGCCGATGACTGGCCTCTTCGGGCTGCATCAAGCCGTCATTTACACAGAAACTTGCAACATTGCAGCGCCACACCCACCTCCTGATTTGTGGTCAATGTGGCTACAGGTGCAATCTGCAAGACCCTAGCATTCCTGACTACATTCAGTCTAGAATGTGAGATTGTTTAACTGTTCGGCCACATGGCTAGCATCTTCCACTAATTCTGGAATATCCTCCGCAAGCTGCAACTTAAATGATGCCATTCTCCGATAGGCAATGCTGGCATTGTGGAAGAGGGGCCAGAAACTTGGCGCAAGAGATATCCAAGTTTCACGGCTTAAAGCTGCTTGGTGGACTGCCAATTGCTTTCCGTCTAAAGAGCTGAAGATGTCCTTCGAGCAACCAAAGCACGAAAGAACCCTCACATTCGCGGGTGCCAGCTGGTTAGAAATATCAGAATAGCAACCGTCAGAAACAAATAATGTTCGAGCCACGTCCTACGTGCATGTCTGTCTGGAATACATCGGGCAAAACAAGAAATTGCAAACAAAAACTCAAAATGTACTTACGAGCATGACTCCAAACAAGGACAAGTGTCAAAGTCACCTAGGCCTGCGGCCGCAAGGAAATGCCGCAGGTATGCTGCGAAGGTGTCATCTGCCTACAGTGTTCATCTGAAAACAACCGTGCTTTAATTGTTTACATTATGTTTAAGCAAACTACTGCTCCATCTATTCGGGCCTTGGGAGTCATGTTCAACATCCTAAGGTATTGCAGAGATCAGTTGTGTTCCAAAGGTTTGCCGATTCATACATGTGCAGAGACAAGAAGATTGCCGTCTGGGTGCAGAGACCTGCCAGTCCCCCAGATTGAATGGCTTCGCATCAGCTCCTTTGGTCGGGTGTGGCAGCAGTGGTGGGCCATTGCAGCAATTCTCAATGCTGAGTACGACCTTAGCTAGCTCAAGAAGAAACAATCCTTTTGCCTTTGAAGGCATGCCCTGGATTGCCCTGGTGTCTAGCAGTCTAGCAGTTTATTCGACAGATGAGCTGGTTTGGAAGGCAAACTCTTCCAACATTGAAACTGTGAGGAACAGATCTCACAACCTTTCTCAAACAAGTGGGACATGAGGTTTTTCCATGGAACCAGGCTGCCTCACGCCTCAGGCTTGTCACTCATGGTGTGTCTGTATACTGATTCGGTGGCCTGGGCCTAAGTTCGTTAGAGTGAATTCAGCCTAATCAGTGTCAAGGGACGTAAAAAGCCTCTGACCAAGCCCGAGATTGAACCATGTTTTCGGAGAAGAGCCAGGATATCCAAGGGAGAAGAGCACGGCTATTGAGGGATGCTCTGGCCAAATGCCTCAATCGAAATCCCAGAAAACCAACAGGCACTACAGATAGGAATGTCACCAGCACCTTTTCCTCACCAAATGGAGCAGCAATGGCAGCATTCCCAAGGTAAATAGATGCGCTTGAAGTCAAGACTTGCGTGCAACACTTGTCATCTGGAAAGGCTCTTCGCACCAAAAGCTTGCCGTGATGAGGCTCCTCGGCATCGTGCAAGGACGGAAAATGGTGACAGTCATGAGACGAACTGAACTACAAGTTTGCCCGTGCAAGATCGCCAAGGTCTGAAGCCACATCCCTAAGCCATTAGGATTACGAACATACAAAAAAAGAAACCATGTTTGAGAGCAGCTGGAGGACCAGAAGCTCAGTGTCTAGATTGGCGGCCAGAACCTTGTACCACAACTTCTTGGCATCAACCTGAAGGTGAACCAAAGCATCTCCTCGGCAAACAACTTTTTCAGGACACATCTGAAACAGATTCTCCAACCCACTTGCATCAATGTGCCTTGAGGGTGCATGCAGATGATCCCGCAATGATGCCCATTCCGAACAAATGACACCATTGTTGAATAAAAGTCCCTCTTCTTCCAAGTGTCCAGGCCCCAAATGTTGAAGCATCCGGATCTCAAGAAACATCCTCACAAGCGCTTTCTGTCGAAATCCCGAGAGAACCTGCCTTCGCGCAAGGCGCGAAGGCATTACGGAAATAACCTATATAACCCTTGCATATTCGCATGTCTTCTGGCACGTGTCCCATTCCACGTGTCTCTGGAATTTAAAGAAGGACGAATGACGAATTGAGAAAGTGCTTACAAGACTGACAAGACCGGCGAACAAGTGAAGTAGAAATAGAGTGTAATTTAAGGCGAGCATCTTTGAGGGGTCAGTCATCTGAGCAGCAGATCCTTACTATGGTTGAGGTCAAGTGTGCAGTGATGCAAGAAGACACCTGGTTGTGGGGCATTTGTCCCACTCTTGGAGAGGTGATACAAACGCAGCCCAGAAAAAGAAGGAGTCATACCAAAACAAGGGAAATATAGAAGCCGCTATGTAGGCCCTAAAGTTAGAATGAAATATGAGGCCAAAAGATTCTGTGGGACTAGTATCGTTCCACAGCCTCCGGGAGTGGAAAGAACTGCTTTGCCTGGCTACCTTTCAACTTCACCGCCAGTTGACATCTCACCAAGGACCTCCCCGATCCTGGCACAGGGAGTTGCAATTCTGCTGCAGAACGCTGCAAGTCAAACAGCTCGGACAGAGCTCCTGTCCACTAATTTCAATAGATTCCAAGAAATTGAAACCGAACCTTCACTCTAGGCTCCGTCCTATGGACCTCTGTGCAAGCTTCACCTGCGATTTGAGGTTCTCCTTACATGGTCAATGACAGCAAAAGTCACACCATGTCCGAAGATGTACGAAGAAAAGTCAGCCGGGCTCAAGGGAACGAAGTAGAAAAATGAGGAAAGCATTGGCAATCCAGTTGCAGGGCAGTGCGTCCATCCCCCTTCACCTCGTGCAATCTCGATCCAGTGCCCCCAAGGGAGAGCTTGGTCCACTTGGGCAGTCATGTCATGGCAGCCGACGGAAGGATGGATTCTGACAATTATGGTACGCCACTTCTTGTCAACCTCATGTACGCTTATGTAGGTCCTGCTGTCAGCAGCCTGGGAAGTTGCAAAAGGAGAAGTTGCAAAAGACCAGGATCCATGAAACTACCCTATACAAGCATTGTCAGTCTGAAGGGGTAGATACCATGCGTGCAGCCATTGAGAAGGCACTCTTGCTGTGGGCCTTGGTTTCCCAGTTTGATTCTGACCAGAGCTGCTCCGACTCCAAATCTAGAGTCTTTCCTATTGTGCTGCAGTGTTGTCTAGTACAGCTCTGCGCTCCTTGCGGAATCTTGTGCCTTGTGTTGTCCAGTAGACAGGGATTCGGGCAATCAATCTGTGAGGGATTATTAAGATCTTCTATCTACTAGTTGCAAAGGCATTTGCATGCGGATGGATGTGGGCAAAGGCCAACAGTGACATATAACACTGTACCTTCAGTTTGGCACTCAATTGCTGAGCTGCTTGAAGTACAGGCGTGCGTGACAGGAACAAAGCTGTGGCATATTTGAGGGTGGACTTAGCAACACATCTCCCATCTCGCCCCGGGATGCCCCGGGGTCACCTCATGAAGGAGGTTAGAGGACTTATTTAATTTTGGGATGCTAGGGGGTTGGAATATGTTCTGTTCCATTGTCAATGAAAAATCGACTGGCCCCCCCTCACTGGGAGACCCGGCTCTTGTACACCCTGTCAGCTGCATCCACCAAAGCATCCAAGGAAATACTGCCATTTGCCTGTAGGCTGGCGGGAAGCTGAGTGATTGGGAATAAAGTTTAAGGCTGCTTCGGACCACCCATTGTGGATCTCGCGTTTAGGCTGCCAAGTTGCAACCGGTTGAACAAAGGGCTGCGGTCTTCGAGCCTGCAAATGACAGAGTTGGAGGCAAGCTGTTGCATCTAACGGCGACTATGGAAGATGCAGGAAGCGTCACGTTGTCCGACATGGGAAGTTTAAGCGAATATTAAGGCCAGGAGCCCCTAGTAGCATCCTTGCTCCTAGTAGCGATGCCTTTGCTACTAGTAGCTTCTTGTTACTAGTAGTAAGGCCTGGAGCTCCTAGTAGCGTCCTAAGCTCCAGTCTCAACATCTCTCAACACATGAGTGTTCATCAAGCTCTTCCACGCGAGATGTCAAGTTCATATAGGGGTGAAAAATGCCCAAAATCAGGCTTTGCTTAGCTTCAACTGAGAGCCCCTACAGCGCCGCGCTGTGACCTTCGATGCCATGATTGAGATGTCTATATGCATGTGCATTTTGCATTCTGAAGAAAGTGTGCGCTTGTTGAGGCAGTTGTGGAGGGGCGCACGAGTCAGATTTTGCCGACTGTGTTTAGTCAAAGGTCCGAACTCAAGATGAGGATCAAGCAGGCTTGACCATGACAGCCACCGCAAGTCACACAGGAGGGAGAGGCCGATCGAAACTAATATAGTACCGTAGTAATTTGATGAGGAATTTCGAGTTGCAGCCTATCTCAGCATTGTTCCGCATTAATAACTCAAAACCGTGCTTTCCAGAAACTGGGCTGTTCTTTAATGTAAACGCTGTGCTGGCAGAGGCCATGACATTTCTGACACAGCCAGCACTCCATCATAGGGCGGCTCTGTGCTCAAGGAAAACATCATGGAGCCCCATCCTGAGACATCAAGGTTTTCTGTCTCACTCAACCACCAAGCTACCACTAGCAAATGTCTATGCCATAAATGATGTAAAATGAAAGTTTACTCGTGAATCCCTGAGACCCAGTCACTAATGCTCTGCTCCTCACTCTTTTCACAGACTCTCACCCGTCTCACCCCCCCAACACGCCAAACTCAAACAGGCCTGCGTCAAACAGGCAATGAGCTGGACTGTAGGCAAGACCTGCCCAACGTATCAGCCCAAACCAGCACGAGGATGAAAGGCTAAGTTTCCCCTACAATCTGCTACATGAATAGTGTGAGCGCTTCTTCCGTGAAGAAGGGTGAGCTTTCCTGCGTCGGGTAATTAGTAGCTACTTAAGCTACTACTTACCTCTTTCTACTAGCTACAAAAGCCTACTACGGCCTACCCCTCCGAAAATTAACAAAAATGTCCGATTCCCAAAGTGCCAAAGGGTCGCCGAGTGTTGGGACTTCCATCTTCGTGATCCTCTCCGTGCTAGCTGGATCGGCCTTTACCCCTGCAAGATGGCTCTGCCTGAGCACACTTGAGCACATGAGGCGAGTGATTCGGAAGGCTCGAACAATGCACTGGACAACTACCCCTTGTGCTTCGTGTCAAGCACTCCAAGATCTCCAAGCCAAGAATGGGCTGAGTTTCATGCACCGTACGGAATTCAAGAGAGCCCTACTGCCGCCCCATGCTGTGTCCGGTGCAAGCTAGCAACTCACTTCATCACAACTCTTGAGGTTCCGGCGACCACAGTCTTTGCCATCCATGAAGTGGGAGCCTGTTTTGCAATATATCACGTTCGACGGCGATCAGACAATAGACACATATAGAAACTGATTAATTGGTGGCAATTAGGTGTATGACTTCCCTGGGTCCCCACGTCAACTGTCTGAGCACAACATGGTATATGCGGCGTTGCCATGGGGGTTACAGTAAACAAATAGCATGATCTGGTTTCTTTGCGTTTTCTCCGTCGTCTTCCCTGCCACATGCCAGCTTCGCAGCAAGGCCACCAGTGCCCTCAAACATGGACTTGTACTCATGAGTGAGCTCCTGGCCGAATCAGCGATCAGCGCGACATGGGCCCGTGCTTCAGTTCCGAAGTTGGCAGAAGAAATTTAAATGATCTGTCCCGGGAGAGGGCACCGGATTCCCTTGTTCCCTGCTTGCAGCATCTTACAGCATGGCGTTGACCAATGAAAACAAAGCGGCGCGGCTCCGCCCTCTGCCTGTTCACCACTCTGTGACCGAGGCTCTACTGCAATGAGACTGTAGGACAGGGGGAGCACCTAGAAGCGAATTCAACAAACATCAAAAGGATAAGTGTATGTAGCACAGCACCCACGGATAGTGTCAAGACTACCAAATTGTGCGACAGCTTCTGGTCAGCTGTTCAGAACAACTATAAGTTAAGTTAAGTTATGAGCACAAATATTCACCGTTCAGCAATTCCCTGATTGTTGGACGTCCAGATTCCACGCCTGAGAGATTGTAAACAGCAACTTTTGCGGAGCTGGCACAGGAACCTGACCAAGAGACTGCATGGGCTCAGCTAGAGGTTCCGAAAGAGCGAGCATAATAGCAAGCCAAAGGCGGTCCATGCTAAAACCACTCGCATTCAACAAGTTCCCTGTAGCCGGTCTTCGCTACCTCCATCCCGGAGACATCATGCGACCGCCATGTTGGCCTTGGGTCTCTGAGCGCTTGTGACTGCCCTGGGCCACTGGGTACAAGCGATCTAGCCAACACATCATCCGTAGAATATATCTATATATACATTATATGCAGGGTCTAAGGCAAGGGCGGATCAGCAACAGGATCAAAGGCATGATGCGAGCGGTAAATCCTGAATTCAGGCTTCCGAGGCCACTCAGAAACAAAGCACGAGAGCTGGTGGACACGATCCCAAAAGCAAAGACACTATCCAAGTCTAAATGAGTAGATGGCCAGTTGTGTGGCGGCACCCATGGAACTGTCATGAACTTTACCACTCTGCAAGCATGCAGAAAACGATTGACATCTGAGCTAAGGGCTCCTGCACATCTTCACATGTAGGTATGGCCTTGGGTACTGAGAGCTAAATTTCCAGGTGCAAACAATAACGGTGGCCGCCAGGGCCGCATGCTAGTCAGAAATGTTATAGATGGGAGCTCCGTTCCCAACAGGCTGGAGTGTGAAGCTTGTTGATCTCAGCAAATTATCAAACTTGCATGCAACCCCACCCATCCAACAAACACGCATTTATCACTTTTATCCGAAGTTGTCTGATTGAGAAGCTCTTCTCGTTCCTTCTTCCGGCCAACTGCAACCACATACCTCAAGCAGCGCAATAAACACTCCACCATCGATTGTACCCAGCCGGGATGGAGAAATATATTCGGCTTGGCATGACGGAGGGCATGGGAGGGCCAGTGGCAAGAAACCATGAGCAGAAACAGGAAGGGGAATCGCATATTACTTATTTACTTTGGGGCACACATCACATATACATTATATATAATATATATAGTATATTGATGTTGTTGGTGTGATGATGATGGTGGTGGTGATGATGATGATGTTCTGTCCAGGGTGCCATCTGTTGCTTTTGGGAAGAAACTCGGCCGCACATCATCAACACTCGTGGATGATTCGTTGTGTGGAAAGTGACCCTTGTTCTTTCGGATGATTCGGCCTGACGGCCGTGACAATCACCACACCTCTGAAATAATTCGACCTCTGTGCTGCAGCTGTGCTGAGCAAAGAGGGCATGTTTCACATCTCCAATCATCGCTCTGCAGAGGAAACATGTGGCTTGCATATCGTGACAAATGCCAAAATCCTGAATCGTGTATCCAAGTCACATTATCAAAGGTATGATAAAGTTGATCACTGAGGAGGTCGCCAAACCACCAACCTCTGCAATGGTGTCAAAGCCACTGCCAGTGTAAAACGGGATGCCTCAAACGATGCCGTGACGCAATGCAAGGAAAGCACGGTCGCGCACAATGTCGTGAAGGCCAACAAGTTCTCCCTAATCTTGCTCTCCAAATGGACCTCTGGAGCCTTTCCCTCGAGGTGAAAATTTGATGCCTTGCACATCTGTGCACATTATGGGCTATTGACCACTTGCACCACTCATTTCCTTTCTTCACACCAAGCTGAGGTGCTCATGAGCCACGGCAAAGCAACGGCTATGAACGTGGCAGCAGCAGGAGGTAAACCTCCCTGAATCCTTAGAGTCTCGCACAAGTACACAAAAGAATGCCACACTGACACTAAATATCTTTGGTTGCCTACCCAACGGTCATTATAGAGTTGATGCATTGATGCCGGCATTGTCACTAGTGTAAATTAATCCCTATCTAGTGGAGGGGGGGACGTGCAAAAATGTAAGACAAAAGTAGGGAATAACATACTGTATATATATATTAATATATGTAAGTTACAGTATAACGACCAACAGGGCGCTAGGTCTCAAACCACGGAGTAAGAATGCACCACGAGACTGGCTTACAAATGCACAGTTAAGACACACAAGAAAGGAGTATATAATGAGCACAAACAGCAGCGGGTAAAGCCTCACCAGGGACGGATAATGCACTGGAAAAAGTATAGCAACGCAACAGCTCCATGTAAAAAAAAGCCCAGACTTGGCAACTTGGGGAGAACAACAAGCTCAGCATGTGCGCTCTACTGGTTGCAGGCCCATGTCCATGTCCATTCCATGTCCAATGCAGCAAGTAAAACCCTGAGCCCTTCAACTTTAAATTGACTGACTAATTAGCCTTCCCTAATCAAAGAGGGCTCTACCCAACCTTCCTCTGAATATTGCTTTCGTCGAGGTCATACAACAAAAGCCAGGAATCAAATTGCAACGAATGAGGATGGCCAGGACTGGGATTGAAGTGACATTTTGCAGCATTGGATAAGCTGCAACAGTGGCTTGCCCCACTTTGGAGCCGCCGGCATTCCTTGGAGAGGCTTTGCTTCGCCTGGTAGGCCTTTGTTTTGTTGACCATCAGTGCCTAAAACAAAAACGAGAGCTTAGAAGTCAATGGGGCGCAACGCATGGTCTATACTTTAGATCAGGTTCAGTTTGCTGAACAGGTTCTCGTTGGTGTCGTAGAAGGGCGCATACGCCATGCCACCGACAATGCCAACTACAGAATAAAGCACAACCTGCGCACTTAAAAGGCACCGAAAGCCTCTTACTAGCTTCTTGTTACTAGTAGTAAGGCACCTGTTACTACTAGCGTGGCACTTGTTACTACTAGCTTATTGTGTCTGTATGTCTGGTTTGGTCCCAAGAGATTTGCCATATCAGGGTGCCATGAAACCAAATGCCAACGACCTACGGAGCTGAATGAGACCACCTGGCAGATCCAGTGAAAAGTGTCCCTTTTTGAACCGTGTGACTCAGCCTCTCACACTGGCAGCCAAGACACCACGAAGCACATGGTCGTCCAGAAAGTTGTCCCTGCTCAGGATGCTTTCAGTGTCTAGTTGACTTGTTCAGTCTCAAACACCTGACATTGGTAGGCACAAAGGCTTAGACTTACGATTTCCACTGCAGTAAAATGGCCTTTAAGGCATGAGACCGCAAGCCATGTACAGTCAAATGTGCTAAGGCCCCGCCGACAGGCACGTCAGGTTTCTTTTCATTGACCCAGGAGGGCAAGGCGCTTGTAAAGGCCTCAACTGCTTTGGAATCCCGATGCCACAGTTCCGCAGGATCACTGACATCTTGCACGTTTTGCTTCCTTTGCGACTGGACCACTGGGGCAGGAACAAAGTTGAAAAGGACGGTGCCAATCAGCGAGGATTGCGAGGCTGTAGCGATTGGCAAAGGATTGGGGAAGGCTGGCTCGGACAGCAACAGGCCAATCCAAATCACCTCAATTGTTGCAGGCCTGTTGCAGGCCCGAGGCCAATGACAACACTTCTCGAAGTTAGCCAGGACTATGCAAAACAGTTTGAACCTCAAGAAACCAAAACGTTACAAGAAGCTGCTGAATCGCTGCCATCACAATCAACCCAATCACGGCCAAGTACTGCAGAATTACATTGTCATCCAAATTCTTCACAGCGAAAGGAGCGCAAATCAGAGCCACTGCCAGCCTCCGTCACTGCGATGCAGGGCGCTCAATCATGACAAACTTTACAGTAAGTTTTTGCCGCCGCTGCTAGATGCTAGCTGCTGGGAGCTGGTGCGCAACTATGATCTGTTCTCATCAAGGTGCATAGAGCTGGAGAGCACCAATCTATCGCCAAACGGAGTCACTGAATCCGTCTGAGTGCCACAAACCTGAGATTCTGTACAGTGAGATTTCGCATGATTTCGGTTTTCCAAACATCAGGTCACGTTCTAATCAGACGAGTACAGCCCATGAAATTCAATCAACAAGAAATGACACGCAAAAGCTTCAAGCAGCATTCTCAATACAACATCGAGTTCGTTCCTGATATTTTCTTCCAACCTAGGATCTTAAGCTGGAAGTCGCAGGCTCAAAAGGTCCCCTTCTAAGCAAACAAGACACATAAGCAGCTTGAAGACCCAGCTGGAGACCTCAGGAACAGAGAGGGGGAGAGAGAGAGAGAGAGAGAGCAAATGGATAGCAATTTCCAAAAGAATCTTGGACAGCCTTGCCACTCTCTTTTGCACACCCCTCCTGGAACCCACTGTCCCTACAGTAGAGTGGCCCCGAGCCCTGCATTCCAAAAAAAGGCCTTGCATGCCATGCTTCCTGGAGCACAGCCATATATATTCAGCATAATGTAGTCCATGACCTTCAAGAGTCATCCCCTGCCCTAAACTGTTTGGTTTTAGTTCGGCTGTGGCTTGTTCCCAGAGAGTGATAGCTATGGGGTTCATAGTTGAAATAAGAACTGGCTGTGCACGCTTTCGAGACAGGGTGTCGGTGCTGGTGCCGGTCCTCAACAGCAAGTGATCACAAACCAAAACCAAACCGCAAAAGCCACCGAAGTCAAAAGCAACAGAAACCACCAAAAGCCAGACAAGCCACCGAAGCCAAAAGCCAACAGCCACGGAAGCCACAGAAGCCACGGAAGCCAAAAGTCAACTCCGCAGAAGCCACAAGCACTAAAAAGCCACAGAAGCAACAGGTAGAACAGTAGCACAGTAGAATTCCAACAAAAAAGCTCCCCATTGAAAAGCAGTAGCACTGCGCACATCTATTCAATCACCAGGCTGGAAATGGCCCTGCAATGAGAAGTCAATTGGCCCTGACTTCATGCCAAGCAGGGGGGGAACCGTCTGGGTCTTTATGGGATATTGATATGGATGCTACATTCGAGCAGAAGGTGAAGCCCAAACAGCTCCCAGTCGATCACCTGACCAGATTGGATGATCAATGACATCAGGTTCAGAATCGAGTTCACATGGTAGCCTCAGCACGAGGCTCTGCAGCGGTGCCAGCCCAACGTTGACGTATTCCATGCAAAAACTTCAGATTCAGGCATCAGTGACGAGTAACTCATACACAACACAAAACTAACAAAACATCTTCCACAAACCTAAGAACGCCAAAGAACAAATCATTGTGCCTACGTAGAGTTCGTGAGGCAGGTAGAATGATGCCAGATTCGTAAATTCAATTGTCTGCTCGAAGCTGTGGTTTCCTGGCCAGGTCAAGTCCATTTTGCACATTCACCTGCACTGCTTTTGACCAAGGATGCACGCTGAGCTCATGTGCTGACATTGCTTCGCCAAACCCCAGTGCCAAAATTATGGTGGTCGACTTGCATGAGGAAGAACATGTTTTCTCACCTGATGTGGAGCACGCAAGTAATGAACAAAATATGTTCACCCAGCTCCTGGTATTGAACGCATCGCCTCAATCAGCATAAGGCCGCAAAGTGAGGAGAAGCCTGATGAGTGTACATGGCCTCTTGAGTGAAAGTTTTCACTTCTTCTGCTCGTAACGAATACAGTACAGAATATAGCATGTCACACCGATGTTTAGGTGAAAGGCTGGCCGCCTGCCACGACTGTCTGCACAAGGAAGAGTGAAAACCACCCAGCTTCTTGCGCCAGCGCTGGCATTGACACGATGGTCGGTCCTTCCACGTGTCTAAAGAACGGGCAGGTTGACAACTGATTGAGGAGTACTTAGTGCGGTGAGTACTTAGTGACTTAGTATCAAGATGTATCAAGCACCGTGCATTCAGCGCACTTCTCCTGCCAAATTGTTGATGAGCAGCATCACTCCGCCCACCAGTCCGATACTCTTCGCACCCGCAGGTGCCTCAGTGCCGTTGTCGCGGCGTTCCGTGGAAACTGGAGGGGACGGGGGGGACGGGGAGTGGCCGGTGCTGTCTAAAACGGTCTGAGCGCAGGATCATCTCCAAGTTGCACAAAGAGCCTGTTCCCACGCACGCTTCTCCAAGGTCCACAGCTGACCTGAACTCCAACGATGTTGCAAACTGCATGAGAACTGCATCTTCTGGTGAGGAGTCCGCTAAATCAGTCGGGATCACCTTGAGACCTTGCTCTGACTGTGGCGGCGCAGACCCTTCGGTCTCCAGATGGATCAGATGTCAAAGAGGAGGAGCCAAAAACACTGCCAGGACCATGTTGGCAGACCTCAAGGTGCTTACGATGCACAAGGCCAAAATGGCCACGCCATACATGTCCTCTTTCCAGTCTCATGACTGAGCGCCCCTTGAGAGGAACTTGTTCAAACTTGTTCTAATGATTACGGTGTCTATTACTAATGATTGTGGACCTGCGACGTGCCACCCCGCCTTACCATCGACACCATCAGTTCAAAATTCAAAACGATTCCGGGACATGTTCACAACCTTTGACGCAAAAGCAGCGCTTCATTTGGTGGGCTCTCTGGGACATTCCCAAATTCGCAAGTTCTCAAACTGAGGTCGGCACAGTGACCTGGCTGGGGCCAATAAGAAGTTGACAAACGATCAAAGGGTCAAAGGAGACTGTAAGAAAGGTTGTTGATCTACAGCGAAACCACCACGGTATCTGATCTACACGGTTGACCATGTCAGTGCAGAACAATCTTCAACCTGGCAAGGCAACGAAGCAGGCCAGCGTCACGTAGCTCCCATCGGATCGCTGTGCCAAAACGTCAAAAACACCCTCCGCAACAATGTACATGCGCTGGCTGGCCTCAGTGCTTCCATGCACTGCTGAGAAGGTGCCAAAATATGATTCAAGGGCGGATTCGGCGAGTATGGATGCAACCCACCGTGCCAAGCTAAGCAGCTGCATTCCACTACAGTAACTAATTAAATGCCCACGCCATCCTACAGCGCCATGCAACATTCATTTCATCTGTCCTCGAATGGCTCCTCAATGTAGGACGAAACAAGATTCATCTGGATATTGTGAACTGCTACTTGGGAACAAGCTTGAGGTCCGTGCCACCTTTCCTTGTTGGAGGATGGTGTCATTCGCTTGCACCTGCTGCAATCTCCTCAGTCACCAACGCCAATTCTTGGCTCCCACACCCACATGCACACAAACTAACCAACCAATGTAATTGGGTCTGTCTTAAGACACCACTATACTGTGCCCGTTTCACGTCGCTGTCTATTGCCACCAGGTTTGAACAGAATCTGTGCTGAAAGGATCCGAGAGGAACGGTAGCGTCCTTGTTGCCCATCATAGTCATAGTCTAGTGTCTATTCCTTCCACACTTCCCTCGACTGCTGCCACTGCTACTGCAACTCCTCCTCTTCCTCCTAATGCTGCTTCTACTGCTTCTAGGGCTCTTACTGCTGCGGCTATTCCTATTGCTCGTGTAATTGGAACTGCCACTACTGTTGCTGCTGGTGCTTCTACCACCTCATGAACGGTACTAGTTGTGGGTTTAGACTTAGATCTTTTGGGTCTTGATTGAGGTCTCGAAGTCGTCCTTTGGAAGTTGCCTTAGGATTGTATAGGTCTTTGGTGTTCTCTTACTAGTAGCGATGCGTAGCTTCTCGTTCCTAGTAGTAAGGCCAGGATCTACTATGATCTACTAATAGCATTGCAAGCACCTGAGTTGCCTTGATCTCTGCCGCTGTCCCAAGTTTTGCAACGGATAGGCATTGAATGGCATAACCATTGCTGCGAGGAAGCCAGCAACGAATTTAGGCCAGGAGCCCCTAGCAGCTTCTTGCTCCCCCTAGTAGCTTCTTGCTCCTAGTAGTGCCACCTGCTCAACCGATGACATCCAAGCATCATTGCTCGGATGACCGCCCAAAGCAGCTCCTCTCTATGGTGACCCATTGCCACCTTCAGCCCGTCACCTGAAGATCTGTGCTTTGATGTGAAGATCTTAATCTTAGCTTTGGGGGTCAGCTTGGCCTTTCAAGATTTGATTCAAGATCCTCCAGCGAAAAGGACAGGAAATTGCAAGTGTTTGTTGCGTCTTGTGCCCCCAAACGTGAGAGCATCCACTGTCCAGCCGGGCCAACAATTTGTAACAAGGCATGGGAAACAAGGAGAAACCGCTCGGTGAGGTGGAAACCAGACTGGCACATAATTCAATCCCTCGACCAGGCGGAAAGTACCGACCCTCTAAAGCCGAGAAGCTGGTTTCAAAAATCAGTTTCAGCCACTCCTGTTGCCCAGCGTCAGGTGCTGCAAGAGACTGACGGAGAGGCAACGATTCTGGACGTCGGCAACGCGCCACACGCGCCTCAAGGCTCCTCACACGACAAACGTGGCTTGTCGTATCCACAAATGGATCTCTATCTGTGTGATTAGAGTCTTGCGCAAGCAGCACAATTAATCATATACCACTCCCCCCACCATGCCACCATAATTGAGAGCATTTTCATCGCTTGTTTTGGACTCCCGTCCGGCGCTCGTCCATTGGCGTTTCTGGAATGCTCGCAGGCGTAAGTGGAGTTGTCCGGCGACGAAACTCCTGGCCTAACTCCTTAGTCTGACGTTGGACGGCAGGCCCGGAACGTATGCCACAAAGATGCTAACTGTTAACTGGCAGAAACCAAAAGAGCATAAAGGTCTAAATGATACCAATGTGTTTTTTGAAGTATTCGTCTGAGGCGACCTCTATTGGGCTACAACCACCAGCACCACAAGCACCATTTAGAATTTAGATCATTTAGTATGCAAAAAGCCAATTCATCCAGGTCACTGGCATAGATCGAGTGAACTCAAGGAAGGGCTGGCCTCAAAGGGTCAGACTGAGGTACAAGTATAACATGTCTGAGTCAGGCTGCAAACACAAGCATAGCGTTGCAAAGGCCAAGGGTTTAACAGGAAACCCTCCAGCCCAACGGAATGACCAAACGAGGATTGGCTCGGCCATAGGCAGTCTAGACTCTAGACATGTTACCGTGCTCATTCTGCGTCCACTTGTCGAAAGCATTCCCGTTTTTTAAGCTTTCGTTCAGTCAGGTCCCAGCAACTAAGCGGGGCACTGGACACCGGCGAAGCATTTAGAGACTTTGTCGCTCGAAGTTTCTCTTGCCTGAGCAGCTGACTGGCAAAGTCACCAGCAAGGAATCAGCCAGCAGTCTCGCAATATCTCACGATGATAGTTTTGGTGTGACAAGTCTTTGATCTCCAAGTGTGGTGAGAAAAAAGAGTGTGAAACCTCAACAATGGCCAGGCCCTAGGCCCTAGGCACCACCCTGTGATCGAAGGCAAAGGCACCAGGTCATCCGTGACCAGTTGGGATGCTGCTCTGCTGCAGCCATGCCTTTGCAGTTGCAAAGAACAATCGCATGCGGGTCACACAAGCCACAAAGAAAGAAGACAACACTCCTTTCAGCTGCACATGGCTTTGGCAATGGCGAAGTTACGTTGTTCGCAAGGCAGCTTGTAAAGCGCATTGCGGCACTGGGCCTGTAACTCCGGGCAGGGAGGCTTCGTGTGACGAGGATTCTGTCCAATGTCCCTTAGATACCGTAAAAGGTACAGAAAGTCATAATTAAGAAACATACCCAGTATATCTCAGTATGCTATTGAAAAGACTTGGTGTGCTATTGCCAGTGATGTGCCAGGTCGTGTGCTCCATCTGGCAAGCAAGAAGCTTTTTGAGATACAGTAGCCAAAGCACTCCTTGAAGACACATGAACCGCAAAACAGTGACTCCAAAAGTTGGCAGAGCAGCTTCCAAATAAAGCTCATGTCACTAATGCTCACTGTATGTCGCCATGGCCTCATCCAAGTCCACTGATTGCTGCATTCTGCAGCCGTCACGGATCACAATCACATCACGTGCCAGAGGTGCCAACGCGGCTGGTACTCATGTGGAAACAAACGGTGCTATGGAACCTAAGCTTTAACTTGTCAAATCATCTCAAAGAAAACTCCTAAGGGCACCAATCCCGTGAGCAAGGTTACAGTTACAACTACAATACAAAGCAAATCAACAATGCGGTTCAGGTCCCGTGTAGTGACCTCCGAGCACATCTGACGCATTGAGCTACAGCTGCTGGTGAGTCAGTCAGCTCTCCAACCAAGGTGGCTGTGTCTCATGTTGCCCTCTCTCTATTCTGTGCAGTCATGTTGGCAATAGGCCTAGTAAGAAGGCAAATACTGCAGGGCTCGGGCAATTGGAGCTGTACCGATTTGATGGGCAAAATTGACTCTCACTGTCGATTGCAAATGGGTTTTTCAGGTTCTTCTGCACGACAAAATGTGGAAACACATCGATGTCTGGTTTCGAGACGATCGGACTGTAAGTCCACTACTTTGCAACGTTTCTTGGCTCGGTGCCCTGAGCAGGTCCAAGGACACTGTCGCTGGGAAGCCATCCTAAGATCCCAAACTGTGCAAGATTGACCGCTTCAAAGTGAATATACTTGCAGTACTTGCATACTTCCAAGTCATCAGGCCGACAACAGGAACCAGAACAATGGCAAGGACAGGCACTGTTGAGCCTGATGAGCTTTGGGACTGTCAGATCAGGAGATATTGGCCATACGATTGGGGTGAGGTGGGGCTGAAGTGAACTGCCCACAGCCAAGGCCCCAGCCAAGCTGGACAGAAAACGTGAGAGGCTCACCGTGGCGTTCTTTGCACCACCTTGGCGTTCTTCTGTTACGACCCACAAGGGCGGAACATCGCGGAACTGCCATGTGAATAAAGTTCATGTGGGGGTTGTCCAACAAAGCTCTTCTTTTTCAGCTTGTATCGCCGGCCTTTCGCGGTCCTTTCGCGTTTGCAGAAAAACCACAGGTATTCCTTTCGCGCATTGTGATAAGCTTGTTCCATTGCGCTGAGTTCACAGTGTTTGGGATATATATATCTAAACAAAGGTTTCAAGGCCATGGATGGGCAGATGCCCTTCCAGGCAATGCGCCCTTTCGCGGGCCTACCGCCGGCCTTTCGCGGCCCTTTCGCGAAAATCCGTGTTTCTGTTCGGGAAAAGGATGGTAATTTTATGCACATTGTATGTTATAAGTCTGGTTGGCACATGTCTTTCGCCGTCCTATCGCCGGCCTTTCGCGGACTGCAGTTTCCCTTTCGCGACATGTATGTTTTAACATTTCATCTAAATTCCTTCACTGGCAATAACGGACGGCCCTCATGTGCACATCTGCCCATCTCATAGCCATGTTCGAAAGCCACACTATACTGCATCAGTGCAAATGTGAATGCAACCTACCACGCACTTTTTGGGCCGGCCCAAGTTACAAGTTCGCTTAGCGTTGGTACACGTGTGATCGGGCGGTGAGATATGAATTGGTGGTTGGAAGTTGGCCGTATTTATAAACAACATTAAACAACTAAATAAATAAACAAACTGCTCAGGTCCAGGCCGACTCCCAGACGAGCCACCTAGGTAATTTAGCGTTTGGACGGAGCGCATGGGGCATGTGTTGGCCCATCACTGGGCAAAGCACACAGGCGTTTTGCTTGCTTGTGTTTTGAGGAGGGCATAGGAGGGCCATTGCTTGCATGTGATTTGAGACCGGTCCGCTAAGGCACACGGGCGCACCATGTTCGGATCACGGTAATCTGCAATCAACATCAATTAAACCCAGCTGGCAACGATTGTCTGCCAAAGCCGTGTGACGTTGTAGGTGACCGCGTCTGAGAGCTGCTCAAAAATGAAGTTCGTCCTGGGGTGGCTGCACGAAAGGGTCTATGACGTGAATGAACACCTCCCCAAGAAATGCATGTTGTTCTACATTGGAACCAGCTGGGGGTGACAAGACATATGTATACATATGTTCCATCACGACAAGGAGCTTAGTAGATTAGTAGATCCAAAATGATCCAAAGACGAGAGAAACAGTAACATGTGCATCAATGTACTTGAATGGCTGGGCCACCGCACAGCTGACTCAGTGTATCAGCCTCTGGCGCCCCAAAGCCAGAGTCCAGACTTCCAGAAACCAGATATATTGGGTCACACTCAGCATGTCTCAGTGTATTCATCACTAAAGCTGCTAAAGGTCAGGGATGGCAAGAGGCCAAAATCCCGCAAAATACACAAGAAAATGCGTCGACAAGCTGAAAATTCTCTAGAGGCTTGAACCACTTGAATTCAAAGAAGTCTCAGACATCACAAGCCAAGTCTGCCAAGGCCCCCGCTGCTGTCAGGACAGTGGCTGCTGCGCCAGCGCCACCTCGGGATTCTCTGCAAAACGCCATTCCCGCTGTTGACGCGTTTCAGATGTTTCAGCTTCATGCCACACAAATGATGGCGACTGTCAAGCCGCCGATGTCCGCTACGATCCGAACTGTCAGCGTGGTTTATGGAGTTTGCCATTGCCTAGGAAGAAGCATCGCAAAGTCCACTTGGACACTCTGCAAGTGCTGAAGGCGAGCAAGCGACCACGAAATACCGTCCAATATCCTCCAGCATCTCAGTAACTGGCTGACAAATGTTGCTCCACCACCTGTCGCATCAGCCAACGAAAAGTGATGGGTGACGCAGTTTGACGCACGGAATGCAAAGCATTCAAGATATTCCAGCTGAAGATACATAGAAGCCCCCACGAACCTGCCTCCAGCAGGCTCCCATCACCATATGCATTGAGGTCCTGAAGCAGGAACTTCAGCTCCAGAAGCAGATCTTGCATCCTCGCTCTCGTGGACAGAGAAAATTTGGAAGCTGTGTGTTATCTTTCAGCCTGTTAGCCTTTCAGCCGCATCCGCCCCCCGCAAATGACTCCACCCATCTTCAAGGCAACCAGAACGATCCAAACCATCGCGACTGGGCTCACAACGACAACGATGAACCGAAACAAATCACGTGCACGATCAGCTTCCCAGGCCTTCCGATGGCTTCCTTTGGCTTAGCAGCTGCCTGTGATATACTGTATATATATATATATATATGTATATGTGTGTGTGATATGTATATGTCGCCCGACTTTCATTCTAACTACTGACACAAGGGCACTAAAACATCTGAACTGAGTTGCACCACGCCGCTGGTTAGAAGCAGCGTTCCGCTTCAAAAATGCAGTGGGGTGCCTGCTCGGTGCATATGATGGCCGTAGCTGCAGCTTGGAGGCTATCCAGCACTGCCAACACACGCTCGCCTAAATTGGACTGGAGATTTGGGATCGCCCTGGTAAATCAGCAATCTGGGCAGCTAAGTCCCAGCACATCAAACAAAACAGGATGACCGCAAGGCGCTATGCCCGGACAAACAGCTGCCATCTATGTGTATATATATATATATATTACGAGTACCTTTTGACGAGTGAACTGAGGTTCGCGCAAAACAAAGCTCGTCGGTGGCGAGCCGCGTAGCCGCTGAAACGCTGATAGACCTCACAAGGACCGCAAAATACCGCAAAGCATCCTGCCAAGAGTGGCTTTCAGAGCCACAAAGTGGAGCAGTATTGTATGACTTTCGCAGGCGCGAAAAGAAAGTCCAACTTGCCAAACGCAAATCCAAGACCAAGGCATCAGTGGTGGCATTCTTGCAGATCCCAATCACTTGAGCAGTGAAATCGTGGAGATGACGGAAGGTCTCGGAGATAACCTTACGAAAGGTGGTGATGGGATACCATACACAGCACGCGTTGTGCGACGTTGTGTGGTCAAACTCCATACCCCATAGGATCACCACCCACACCCAGCAGCCACCATCAAATCCATCCTTTGCCATGCATCATCCCCGCACACTTTGTTCGTTTTGGGGTCCTTGCAGCCTTCTTGTTTGCATCTTGCGTGCAGCTGAAGCCTGCGACCAGGAAAGGACTTGTCCCTTGCCTATGCCATCCCGACCCGATAAACTGAAGAAATAAACCTCCCAACCTGCAGCCTTGATGACAAAGGCCGCCCACCTTAGCCAAATCAGAATGGTCTATGCCTATGCTTTGTCCTCTTCGGGTCGGGTACAAACACGGCCAGTAGCTCTGCTGAATGAGCGGGTACAAGTCCCAAACCAGGCCACACACAGTCGACGCACCATGGCCCTTGGCCCAGGAGTATTGGAACATGGAATGACGTGCTTCTGCGTATCCAAAAAGCACACTTTCATGAAAGGAGTCTGAACGCTTCTGAGTATGCATCCGCCATGGGGCTGCCCAAGTGGGCTCCCAATTGAGCGCCAATAGGCATCAGCTCAGCTGCAGGAATCTGCCAACTGGTAGGAAATTCGTCACCATCCGAAACCGTTGCATCTGCTTGAATCTCCTCTTGTTTGAGGGGTGCTTGGCATTGGCAAAGTCTTGAGTTGTGATGACTCATACTAATCCAGCTATGTATATAACTGGTTCTTAAATATCTGGGTGCCAAGTCATGTTTTGCCGGCAAAGCTGAGAGCAGAGTGTTTGTCAACAAACAGTTTCCCTGATTCAGCCCTGACTGAACTGCTCACTCACTCGCTCACACACTCCCTCTCCCTGACATGAAATCTCCTGAATCCCTGCACCAAGAGTCTCATTCTCGAAAACAATCCAAGTTTTGCTGCCGTACTTATGTGCATGCTTGTAAGTTCTTGTCACATGCAAATAAATAAGAACACGGAGCGCTGGACAGCCGCCATTTTGTGGTCTGCGCTTCAGTCTCTTCCTCCTCTTCTAGCTCCAGCGAGCGCCACTGCGCAAAGCAGACCGAGTTCACAGCATCAGTATGACCTTCCAAGGTCCGCACACATCCTGACACAACCAAAAGAGTCAAAAATGCACTTCACAACCACAGCTTGTGATGCCAGACAGGGTCTGAACCCAGTTGATTTCTTTTTGCTGACTGGACCAGTGAAATAAAGAACCTCAGCCAGGTGCCACCTGGACTTTTGTTTTGGTCACCAGGCCGTCAGACCAGACTGGCTGGACGATGCTGGACGTAGTTCGAGCGAGGTTGAGCGAGGTTCAGAATGAACTAAAACACTTCAATATGTGCCTTGCTGCCAGTTCGTTTGTATTTACAATTTACGGGAATGTGTTAATGTAACAAAAATAATGTGTAATATATACAGTATATATATATATGTGTGTGTGTTGACGTATACGTGCGTGTGTGTGTGTGTGTCCACACCTGTGCCTAAGGTTTTGAGTCACCAGCATATGCGGATATCTGGCCTGATCAGCCAGACGTACCTGCCAAGATTTGAACTGTTGAATAAGCTGTCTATTTCTGTGCTTTGCAGTAAGCGGCTAGTCTTCCTCGCCTTTCGGTTCGTGCACCTTTCAGTTTCTTCAAGTCAAGGGGGACTTCATTCTGATCCTAGCTCTTGCGAGCAACCATCTAAATGTTTTCGCCACAGAGTCCCACTGAGGGCTGTGGTGTGACCCCCATCGAGGGGCGCTGCATGTGCATAGACCCAGATCCTAGGGGATCCTTTCCGATTCTTCCGTCTTTGCTTTGGGACTTCGTTCTGCAACCCCCTTGATTGCCTGTTATGCACGATACCACTGATACTATGCCGCAGGGCTCACTGAGACTTACGCTCCAGTCAGGATTTGATGAGAAGTGTGAAACGTGTCTCAACACTTTGTACAAAACACAGTGTTTTTAAACGTACTTCGTTTTTAGACTTCACTGGCAGGGCTTTTCACAGGCAGGGTTTTTCTTGCGCAGTCTTCATGTCTAAGTAATCACCGAAGGCACTTGTGAGCGACTTCCAGTTGCATGTACTTGTCGTTTTCTTGGGTTCTTACTCTCTTGCTGTTGCTTTTCGTTTCTTGAGGCCTTTCTTTAGGTTCCAGGTGTTTTTCAGAAATGGGTCCGCCGTCCCCATAATCGGCTTAAATGTCAACGATGACTGCCTTCGAGCCACCCCTCCCTGCCCCAGGCCTCCGTTGCTATCCCACCCGCTATTTAGGGTTATAGCAGGAAATCGCACTCAAGACACTTGTGTGTTGGTGCCTTTCCTTCTATTTCTCCTGTCCTACCTCTAGCTACCCGGGCGGTATAAGACCAAAGTCCCGCTCGCTAACTTCTGCACGTATTGTAACTAGTGGGCCTCGTAACTACACCTATCTTTCTTTCTTGCCCTCTTAGTCTGCTTTTGTTTTGCTTTCTTTGTCTGTCTTTCTAAGGCTTTTTTAGGTGGCTAGTAATTTTTCCGCAGCGCCAATATTGGCGCTATGTGTACAAAGCTATGTGTACAAAGTTGTGTACAAAGAGCGCACTGATTACGGCCTTGTGTTTGTGCATGTATCCACACATGTGCTGAAGGCTTTGCGTCACAAACGACGCTACTAGGGGCTTCTGGCATCGCTACTAGGAGCAAGGACGGTACTACTAGGGGCCTCTGCCCGTTCTACGGGAGTAAGGACGCTACTAGGGGCTCCTGGCCTCGCTACTAGTTTGCAAGCAGGGGAGCGCGCGCCGAGTACGGCTTCGCGTGTGTGTCCACACCTGTGCCTAAGGTTTTGAGTCACAAAGGACGCTACTAGGGGCCCCTGGTTCCGCTACTAATGGTATCGCTATTAGCGCGCAGCTTGTCAATTTTCAACACGTTCACTAACCAGCAGGGGGGCCATCCATGTGCTGTGAGCGATGGTCCAACGAAGCGGCCACAGCATATGCGGATATCTGGCCTGATCAGTCAGACGTACCTGCCAAGATTGTCGGTTGAACTGTTGAATAAGCTGTCTATTTCTGTGCTTTGAAGTAAGCGGCTAGTCTTCCTCGCCTTTCGGTTCGTGCACCTTTCAGTTTCTTCAAGTCAAGGGGGACTTCATTCTGATCCTAGCTCTTGCGAGCAACCATCTAAGTGTGTGTGTACTTTGGAGTCACCAGGTTCCTTTCGGAATGTTTGTTTTGACTTTTAAGCAGGGGGGTGCCAGAGCACAGTGGAAACTGCACCCAACGAAGCTATCCACCTGTGCTGGAAGCAGAGGCTGATCAGCTCTGTGTACCTGCTTGAATTTTAACATTTGCCGAGATGTTTGGTAATGGGCTAATTGCATTTCGCAGACATGCACGTCACGCCGTCATCTGTCGGTTCGATTTCGACTTGAGCTTTTGGCCCCTTCTCCTTTTGAAGTCCTCCAGGTTCCATAGGGTTTTCTTGGACTGTTCAGGATTTGGGAACCCAGGTTGGCGCGTGGCAACCGCTTTCCAATCAGTACGCATAATCTCAAGTGTGTGTGTGTGTCTGTATCTCTATAATCGATAAATAGATTAGACATAAGTGATGTGCATACTGTACACTCAATCTACTATAAGAATTCTATTAACTGACATTAACTGACATAAGTGTACAAATATCCGGCGGCGTTCTTTTTCATATGGCGGGTGGTCTCTTGTGAAGACCTCATTGATTTTGTCTAGGTTTTTTTCTAACATTTGTTTTTAGAAACCTTTGTGGGGTGAGGCCCAAGAGCTCTTTTATTGCCCGGTGACGAACGTCACCCACCACTTGGACCCCGGCCCCCCCCACCAACAACCATGCATCACATCAACCATGCACCAGCAAATCCACAACACGTCGCATCCCTACTGTCGCAGCCGCAACCGTAAACCTGCACAAACTTCGGAAATGGCTTGGCACCCCGTGAAACCCGCGCACCACAGAGAAGGACAGGAAACCGACAAAAAAACACGCGCGAAACGACCAGGTGGCTTCACAACGACCAGCAAAGACTGCCAAAAAAACGCGCCAAATGAACACCGCTGCAAATCACGCGCGCCTTGAGCGAACCCATCTGCATATAAACCATAAAAACTATATACCTGAGAATACCTGAGAAGAGGGAAACGAATGCCAGTGGAAGTTTACACGTCCCCGAGGAGTTCCCGACAAAACCCCTGAGACCGGTTGCACCCTCCTTCCGCCCCTGCTTTGGTCGTCGAAGGTAGGGTAGTGCTTGGGCTAAAACACTAGGCGCTATAGGATTTCGGTACAAGTAATTAGATGTACGTGCCTCCCCCAACCCCCCCAATTATATATATATATATATGTCTTGCCCTTCCGCCTGCAGCTGACGTGCCCTTTTCTGGGGCACACGTGGATCTGTTGTTGGCCGTCTTGGCCGAGGTGCAGCTGGAAGCAGGCATGGGCATTCAAATGGCAATGTGTATGGCTTTGACAACACAGTGAATTTTTGACGGAGGTCTGAATCTGACCACGCAGTGATTTTGACGGAGGTCTGAATCCACTCTTACTAGTACCAAACTTCCCAAGCTTCCTAGAGCAGTGCAGTTCCAATCACGGATTGCGGACGGGCGCAGGTGCTCGCCAACGGTGCCCAAGGATGGCACCCAAAAGGGTGAAAATACCATGCAAGAAAAACTGTGTGAACTGGTTTTGCTGCTGGACCTCGTACACGTTGGTGTTATGAGTTCCATGGTGATTATTTGGCACGAAATCTGGTGCTGTGATCAGGTTGTTTTGCAGGCTTGTGGCGGCTTCATCTAGAATGGCATCAAGCAACACGATCACTAACCCAAAAGATCTACGCAACGTCAACTTGATACACAGAGTTAAAGTTCGCGCCAGGACTACGTAAAACAAAGGCCTAGAGACAAGCACGATGACCAAAATCAAGACGCTCAGGGTGAGCAACATTCGGCCACGAATTCGGTTGCCTAACCAAGTTAGTGAAGTTCTCACCCAGGCGCTCATCAAGGTCGTTGTAGCGCTAGTCTCTGGCGTCTCTGCGGCGCCCTGAGGCGCCTGCTGACTTAAAGCCCTTTCAGAGATTCCGCGTTTAGCAAACTGGTTGAAACGAGCATCAGTCCTATAGCTCCTGGCAGCTTTCTTCAAATCTTCCCAGCCAACGTCCAAGTAACGTGCACCACGAAGCGGTCCGCCGCTCACCACAGCTTTCTTAAACTGTTTTTTGCAAGTCTCCCCCAATCTCTGACGGCTCGGACGACATCTTCAATACTAGTTGGTTCGCACACCTCACTGGTCACGATGTGCTCTTTTGGGATTCGGCTTGCGAAGAATTGAGGCAGCACTAGCAAAAATGAAAACCTTGCAAGTAGAGCCTTCAATCTTGCGGAGGCGTCAGGCGAAATGGTCAATGCAATCTGTTCAGCGCGCGCCACTTGGATGTAGTGCTCTAGTGACCTAAGGTGTGCCCATCTACCAAGGAAACGAACCCGGTTGATCTCGGTTCCTTCGTCTACAAGCCAGGTTGCACCTCCTGCTCTCAAAGAAGCAGGACTAAGCTTCAAGTTGCCAATGCCTAGTGAATCACAAACGGCTTTGAACATTCTTCTGAACTTCGGTGCACTAGCGGGCCATAAAACTGCGCCTGATTTTGAGCTGCGAGTTGTCAGCCAGCCTAGCCAGTTGACGGCATCAGGGTGTCTGATTTCAACATATTGTTGAACACCCATCTGTCTAGAATTCTTGGGTCTCCTGATTCGAACCACTGCGAAACAACTAGCTAACGACAGTGAGTTGGCAAGCACAACATCTGAGGCAGTGAGCCTTAGCAGTTCACCAGGCCGGAGCAAGCCCATGAACCCCACCACAAGCAGGGCTGAAAAGGCATACCATAGGTCAGTCTTCTCGCCACTATTCTGCCTCGAGGCCCACAGTCGCGACTTGCAAATCATTGCCGCAAGCAAGACCAAGGGTATTGGAGGTCGGAAACTCGAAGGCTGTTGTTCTTCCCAGTTTTTCAGAGACTTCCACGTGTTCTGCAATTTGCCCTTCAGACGTGGTCTGAGCAATTGCACGAACAGAACACCGTGCTTTGCAATCCTCAAGCTGGACTTTCGCCCAGCAGCTGCCATGTGACTAACATAAAGCTCCAACGCATCATCAACTGCGCAAGCTTTGCCTTCAGTCATCACTGACCAACCAACTCCTCCTGTTTTCAGAAATCTCTCGACATCTAAGCCACCCTCTAACAGCCTCTTCTGGTAGCTGCTGCTATACTTTCCCCAGCGCAAACCGCTGAGTGACAGTCGTGTCATGACGTGGACGGCATCCATGCAACAGGTGCAAAAACTAATTACGTCCGTGATTAAAAAACTATGCTTTGTCTGAATTCATTGTTCAAAAACGACACTCTCACGCAACTCATGCAAATGACCTTTCAAAAGCTTTGGCATACGCTTGGCATAACTGCAGCGGGTAGCTGCCTGCAATCTGTGATCGTCTGACCCATTTGTTGTTGACCTTCACTCCACCAAGCACAGCTACATGGGAATGTTCTCCCGTACATTTCGAGCCTAGACTATTAAGGAATGGCATGGTGCCTGCAAAACGTGTTGGTTTTTTCGCAAGTTCTAGCATGCCTGAGTCATTAGGGATTCTAAGATTATAGCTGGTGATGCATTTTCCAGGCAAACGAACTCAGTGGATTCTCTAGTGTATAGAGTGAAACATGCATGCTTAGTAGGTTACACAAATGCAACGTGCGACGGAGTATCTCATTTCCGACTCTCTCCCTCTGCAAGCTGCCGTCCCCTTCAGGCATGTCACTGGACCTAGTCCCTTTGTTCATGTTTTGCATGATGCTGAAAGAACCGCGTGGGAATCCGAAATGCCACAATTGATGGGGTCTGGACGCCTCTCTACAAAGCTTACCAAACACAGCATCCTCTAAAATATCATGATTTGGATCCGGTTTTCCTTTCTTCATCAACTCTACTGGTTCTAGGACTTCAGTCTTCTTTTCCAAGGTCTCGCCAAGTCCTGTCGTGTCTGCGCAGTCTGCGCTGGCGCCGGGCAATGGATGCCCTGATTGGTCCTGCCTTTCAACTGCTCGCCAAATATCCCGGTTTGACCTCCTAGTTTTGAAACTCTTCAGGCGCTGTCCGAAGATCTCTGTGGTGAGGTCACTAGGTTTGTCTGGTGGTTCGGGGATACGCCTACATCTTGAAGGGTAATCAGCTGGGTTACATTCTTGACTTGACCCAAACCATATGTAGCGTTTTCCTACCGGCCAAGGACCAACCTAGAGCTCGTCTCAGGATTCGGTTGAGACTTTTTGCGGAGGAACGACCCTTGCTCCACGCTCCAGCTGCAGCGCGGGAGTCCACAAGAAGCACACATCTCAGTGGGCTGGTGGCGCTGGATGTCACTACGTCTTTTAGCTCATGATGTATCATCCTAGCTTCAAGTACATTGATGTGCTGCTTATGGGCAAAACTGCAAGTCTCGGTCTGATTCCAAGGCAAATCTCGAATCAACTGCTCTAGTTCCGATGGTGCCTGTCGCATCTCACTGGGAGGACAAACTGCGCCGTGCTCCCAATCTAGCCTAACATGTTCTCCTTTATGTTCAGCAAACCTGTAAAGTGTGTTGGCAACTGTAGGGCTAACCAGGCTGGCTGCTCGCCCTCCGTGAGTTAGAGATGCATCACTAGCTCCTACTCTACAAGAAACCGTCCATCTGATATTGCTGTGGCAAAGAGGCAATAACAAAGCGCAGGCCATGAGCTCTTCTTTAACTTCTACAGGCAGCCTTTTGTTATCACCATCATTCAGTTTTTCAACCCATATAAAGGTCTCTTGCAGGAGGCACATCATGCTCCGGCGGTGCGTGAACGGATGCACGAGCAAACCTGTGATCCCTTGCAACAGTTTCTTCGAAACGACCGTCAAACCCAGCACTCTGGAGATCAACAGGGAGAGGTGTCTTAGCTTCTGAAGCGGTGCCCCGACCCTTCCCGTCTTGTTGTCTACTTCCGTGCCCCAAGCTACGAACTTGTCACATTTATCGAAGGACTTGTTCTTTGAGGTGGGGATTCCTTGCCTGGCATACTGGGATCTACTGTTGGCGATTAGTTCTTCATCTCTGAACTGTTTGCTCTTAGGCCTCAATTTTTTTGGCAGGCAATATCTGGGTGACTATGTGATCATCAATGTATAACCCTTCCATGGTGTGTGAAGCAGGCAGTGGCTCACGAAACTCGATACACTCACTTGGGCTCACGCAAGCGCAACCTTTTAGGATTTCTACGTGAACCTGTTGGGCGATGTCTACTGCGTTCAAGTCCCCCATGGCTATGACCTTGAATGCTAGTAGGTATCTTTTACCCTTTTCACCGCCATAGGCTTCATAACCTTTACCATCAAACGCCTTGCCAACAGCATTTCTGGGTAACCACTCATCTTGATGTTTCAGCAAGTAGAAGTAGTTACTCAAGTCGTCCCCACTGCCCCTGATTGAAAAAACCCTTGGGAACTAATGTCCACTTCAGATTAATCAATACCCCTTGAATAAAGCTAAGCAAATCCCAGAACAGATTTATAAATTCCCCCCCAAATAAAGCTAAATGTTTTCACCCCTGGCCCTGGGTATCCCAAATCCAGCCTTTAAAAATGTTCCAAATCCAGCCTTTAAAAAATGTCCTGAAAAAATTCTGCCTTGAAAGAAAGCAAGAAGCACAGCACAGCAAGCACAGCAACCCACCACCACCAACACACACTACCACCAACCCTCCAGCCCTGGTCCTTGCCACTTTGGGACCTTGCTGACCTTGTCAGCTTCTTTTCTCATCCAATACCTCAGGGCCTTAGAGGAATCACACTTGAGGCAACCTGAGCTGTATCTGCACTTTGCACACTGGGTCATTCTCGATTCTGCTAGCAGGATCTCATGGCAAGCTGCTTGTGACAGGTCATCGACAGTAAAATACTTTGAGTTCTGATACAACAGCTCCATGGCTGCAATAGCTGAAGCGCTCTTATGATCCTTCAACTTGCTCAATTTTTGCTTGGCTTGCTCTCTGAGCTTATCCTGCTTTTGGCTCAATGACTCAGCTCTTTTCTCTGCATTCTCCTTGTCCTTGATCAGTTTCTCAGCCTCTGTCTCCATGAGCTTGAGAAGTTTTGCCAATCTGGTTTGCCACTCTTTCTGGACATCTGCTGACCAGCTCCCTAGATGCTGGCCCTGATGTACTCCTGCATGCTACTTCTTCCATAAATGCAAGCACAAAGAAGCCACATTCTGCATCTTTCTGAAAGGCTGCATTGTGCCTGGCTGGCAGCACTGAATCCTTCCCTTCAATCAAGCTCATCACCTTCTGTGCTACCTCAGAGCATGCCTGATGCTGCTTCTTGAGGCTGTCAAAAAAACTCCATGTTCCCTCCTCTCTGATCAAAAGGGTCCAATGGTGGGGCCCTGCTGCCTGTATTGGGATCAGGAGAGTGGATACACCTGATGTCAAGCTCACAATGTGGGCCTTCACTTGATCTAACTCTGCATCTTCCTGAACCAAAGCCATCTTCGCTGTCAGAACTGGATCCAGCAGCTGGACAGTGCTTGGGATCTGGAGCTGGTCCTGCATGAATTGCCATGCTGCTACCAGGTGCTGATCCTCCAAAAACTTATCTTTCTCAAGCTTGAACAGTGGATGGTGATCATCCACCCATGGTTGTGGGATGCAACCTGCTGCATCTAGCATGGCCTGAAGCTGTTTCCTTGTCACATAGCTCAAAGTCTTGTATTTGGCTGGAGGCTTCCATTCTGGATTCTCAACAACTATGTTGCTGATGTCTGTTGAAATGGAACCTTTTGCAGAGAAGATTGTTGCCTTGCTGCCACTCATGTCACTCAAACTGCCTGTCTTGCCATAGCGACTGACGCCAGCCTGTTCTTTGATCACTCTGACTGTGCTCCCCACCTTTGGATGCTCCTTGATCACCTCTGATGGCACCTCTGGTGGTGGTGGCTCACTGGGTGGTGGAAGGGGGGGGTGCTTCCTTCAGCTTGGCTTTCTGCTCTTTAAGCACTGCCTTGCCTTCATTATCAACAAGCTTCTTCATGCTTGCCTTCTTCATGGCCTTCTTCATGATGGATGGCTTGAGCTTCAGGCTTGCTTTATTCTTTCCTGCCTTGATTGCAGCTCCCATGATCCTTTTGCCTAGCTTCTTCTTGTTGCTGGCCTTAGGAACCACTTCATACAGTGCTTCCTTTTTGCTCATGCTGCTGATGAGCTTCTTGCTTAAAAACCTCCTTGCTGCCATCCTCACAATGCTGCGCTTCCTTGATTCTTGCCTCATTTCTTGGTGCTTTTGCAACATGCTGCTGTATGTTGAATCTAGGAGAGCTCTTCTGTATGAGCTCCTCCTGAGCTCTGGGGACAGCTGAAAAAAACAAGGAGTTGTTCATAGGGAGGAGCAACTCATCGCTGATCTGATCTGAGGCTTTGATGGCCAACTCTTCCTCCTCATCACTGCCCTCATCTTTGTCATTCTCTGGTTCCTTCTTTGGGTTGGCATTGCTCCACTCAATGAGGTCTGTGATGGCAGCTGCATCCTTTGAAAGATTGAAATCTGGCTCTATTGGCACTCCATCTTTCAGCCAGGCATACCTATGCTCAAGCCATGCATCTGGGATTCTCTTGCTCCCCATGAGATACTCATCTGATCTGATGTCTTGGAGCTGCCCTGATGGAGTGGCCCTGTATGCTATCAGCCCATTCCTGATTGCACCCTTGACCACCCAGTCAGTCTTCTCATTCATGACCTGCATGTAGTCTTGGCTGGCAATTGCTGCCCTCATGATTTGCTCATAGCCAATGCTGAAACCCTTCTCAGACCCATGCTCCTTCTTATGCTCCACTCTCATGCAATCAAGCTCATGGGCGAACTGATGCTTGAAAGCTCTTGCAAAATCAGTGTCTGTGACTTGCAGCTGTGCTGTCATTCCCCCCAGTATGAGGACTGACATCTGATTCAGCACATGCTCACACTGCATGACCTCCTCTGCAAAGTTGGCTGTAAAGCTGTCCTTTATGTTGATTCCTGCTGGCTCACTGGACCCTTGCTCAATTGCAACCCACTTCATCAGAATGGAGTCTAGGTTTGATGATGGCTGCTGCATCACACTGATCTTCTGGAACCATGATGGATGTTCCTTTCTCAACTTGATGAAGGCCTTCATGGACTTGCACTGCTCTCCCTTCTTGTGCTGGATGATGAAATCACCCACTTGGAACTGATCATCTTCTATATACTTTCCTTCATCATCCAAATTGCTTAGCCTTTGATGAGGGCCACTGAAGACCAAAAGGCCCTTTCCAACTTCTCCAATCAGCTTCTCACCTGCATCACCCACTATGCCATATATCTTCTGTCTGGCTTCATAGGTTATGCGGTATTTCTCCTCATGGCTGTCATGCCTCATGCGCTTCATTCCTGCCACCAGCTTTTTCTTCTTCTGCCCTGCCTCCTCATAGCCCTCATCTGCATGGATGACTTGGTCCTGTGCCTTTAGTTTGTTCTGTGCAGCCTCTATCTCTTTCCTGATCTGGTTGAAATTGATCCTGTCTTCATACCTCATTCCTGCCAACTCATCCTCTGAGAAGATGATCTTCTTATGGACTGCTTTGGCCCATAGGGGCACCTGATCACTCATGGTGATGATGAGGTTCTTCCTGTTCTTGATCACTTCTTCTGGCTGTGCTACTACTCCAGCCTCATCCAATCTCTTCTCATCAGCAGCTCCCATCAACCAAATGGCCCTGTCAACAGCTTGATAGGTGAGCTGGGCCCTTGCCTTTGCCTCAATCCTGCTGAGCTTATGGCTGATCTCCTTCTGCATGTACTTTGCATTCATCCAGCTGATGAGCTTTCTCAGTGTAATTCCTACCATACTTGGTGTTAGGGTCCATGAGCTTCTGCTTTCTGCTCATGGCATTCTCAGCTTCCTGTCTCCATTGCTTTGCCCTCTTCACCTCTAATTGCGATGCTTCTGCTGATACCTGCTCTGCTTTCTGAAGGCAACTCCCTGCATGCTCCACTAGCAGGCAGCAAAACTCAATAAGAAGCTCTCTTTTGCTGATGTTGTGGGAATTCATCCTTTCTAGATCCAACCACTTCTTGAGCTGTGCTATTTGGTCTTGGAACTCTCTCTTCCTCCCTGCACCCTTTGATCTGATCTTGGGGTTGGTTGGCCTCTTTCTTTTGCCTTGCTTGCCTCCTCTCTTTTTGCCCAGATGATTGGCCTTGACTAGATTCTGCCACTGATCCTTCTTTGCATATATGTCTTTTAGCCTCTGGACTGGAACTCCAAACTTCTTTCTGAGGTGCTGAAACAACTCATGTTCTGTTGCAAATGCTTCTTTCTCTTCATCTACTGCCTCTGCAATCTTCATCTTTTCATAAGCACCAAATTCCATTCTTCTTCTCACAGAACCTTCTAGTTTTCTGTTGGATTTTGTTTCTTTCAGCACTATGGTCCCTTCACTCCTTGGCGCCCTGCCTACTCTAGCTGCCCATCTCTTCATTGCGTCTTTCTCATCTTGTGCCAATTCTGCTTCATCAGGCCCTGCTGAATCCAATTCAGCCTGAAATTTCTTCTTCATCTCCAGCAACTCTATCATTGCTTTAGATTTCTGAACCCTGGCTGGTGCAACTACTGATCTAATCACTGGTTTTGCTTCTTGCTTCTGCTCTGGAGAGCCCCAGAACTTCATGATGCTGTATTGCTTGGTATTGCTTGTGCTTGATGGTGGTGAGCTGCTTGGTGGTGAGCTGATCCTAGTGCTGGGCCTGTCTGGTGTTTTAAACTGGTCTGATGGTTTCCTAGATATCACAAGCTGGTTCCCCCCCTGTCAACACCCTTGCCTTTTCCAAGGCCTCATCTAAAATCTTTTGAGCTGCCTGCTTTGCATCCTCAAGGATCTTTGCTGCTTCATTCTCTGCCTGGAGCTGATTGTTTAGCTTTATTCAAGGTCATTGGCACCTGAATAAAGCCATGCCCTTGAATAAAGCTAATGAACTTGGTCTCT